CAACAACAATGTCACAACCCTCTTTCTTTCCATGTTGATACAGATTCGTGGCCTCTGTGTTAGTCCAATCAATGACTGGCTTGTCTATTGTGCGTCAGGTGGAACGAACATGGTCTCAGGAAACGGGTGTGCCTGTCTGGTGTAGAACTGCATCGGTTCAAAGAAGCGAGTAACCGGTACGTATCGTATTGGCCAAACAAAGAAGCAGAAATGCTGATGCCTTGTTACGACGCGGTCGAAAGTCCTAGGAAGAAAAAAAAGAGGTGGCCGCAATTAATCGGCGAAGCGGAGTTTGGTGATAGGCTGCTCTATTTCCGCAAAGCTGATTGGTGACGGAGGGACACCCATAGGGCTGACCGACGGGCAGACAGTTGGGGTCGGGATCGCTGATTCGTGACCGCCTACGTGTCGTCGATACACGACGGGCTTCTTGAGCCAATGGGATGGCGGCATAGGCTTTGCGGATGAACCGATACCCGTTGGAATGAGGGGGGTTCCTAACGAGTCCTAACTCTTGGGTTCTTTTTAGGGCCCCGGAATACGATACGGGGTACGGGATTCGGCGTGTTCAGGAACGGTCATGTAACGTGTAAGTGACGAGGCGGCTAAGTTATTGAGTAGGTACACAGGACGATGTGACGCCGCCTCTGTCCTGCGTTCGGGGTAAGTCATAGTGTGGACGGTGAGCCGGGAACCGATTTTGAGTCAAAAAGCTTGCTTGCTTTGAGTTTCTTGCTTCTTTCGTCTGTCGGTATACAGCTTGGATTGGCTTGCGTTAAAGTTACTGGGACAGGTGGACAGCCACGCCAGCCCTATGTGTGGAGAGGAACCGGGAGGGTTGTGCGAGTGCGAGTGATGATGGTGGTGAGCAATTGGTTGACCAAGGTTCGTTTGAATGTGTTCCTGCGAGCAGACGCGCATCCGTCATGCGACTTTCCCTGCGCCAAAGTCCTGTGCAGCAAACAAGCATACACGACTGAGTACGAATCCCTGGGTACGGATTCGTTGGTGATATGCGCAACCGCGCAATCCAGCACCGTCAGAGCAACACGCCAAGCTTCAATCAACGCAAGCTAGGTGACGACTGACGGACGAGTCAAGACATGCAGGTCCATGTTATTGCTGTTCGTGCCCTAGATTTCCAGACTCCGACTGTCCCTGAACCCCGATTAGGTGAAATGCGAACGGTCGCTCGTGCGAAGCTGCGGGTTACGAGCTGTCAATGGCTCAGAATTCTCAACCTTCAAACTGTAACCCTGGTACCGCGTGCTCTGTACCGAACGTCATTCGGCCGACCCAGACCAGACTGGTGGGCTTTGCTTGGCTAATCAGACTGGGTGTGTAATCTTGGTGGGTGGGATGGAGAATCAGAGCGCCCGCTGGCCATTCCGACCCCTGCCTGTCCCGTGGTCTCTAGTGACAGGCCGGACGAAAATGCCGACCTTGACCGGAAGTTGAAGCAAAGCTTTTTGCCTGCTCCAGCGTTTTCTTCTCTCCTGGTCTGTGGATGCGCTGGCTTGATCGGCCCCCAACAGTAAGCAGAGGCCATGGCAGTTGGTCCGCAGTGGACCGTTTTCAATAAACTCCACATATCACGGACCACGAGTTGATGGAGACTGGTGATATCAGCAACGCGCGAGAAATGGTATCCGGACGGGCGCCAAGGGCGTCATTGGTCAATTTCCGCGTTGAGAGGTGACATAATGAGAGAGGGTTGGTGTTGGTCTCGAATCAAACTGGACCCCGTCTGCCGTTTTTGGCAAACGCAAGGGGAGCCCTGATCTTGAGAAGGCCTATCGCAAAGACGTAGGTACGCATCACAGTGGATGGCAACATGGCATTGCTGCGACCTTGAGGGCCTGCGGAGGAGGCTGAGGGCCCTTTGAGACTCTGAGTGACAGAAGAGCGGAATTTGGAGTATGTAAGACAGCCAACAGTTCGCTTGGGAATGGTCCCAGGTTGGCGGAGAATGAAACGACCCAGTGGGAAGTCATGGATCGGGCTGGCGGGTGGAGATTGATGAGCGGGTTAGCTTTGGGACTTTGGTTCTGATGGGCTGATTTTGACGGGGGTAAGCGAGAGAGACTCAGAGCGAGGCCAAATTAAGTCTAATCCCTGACCCAGTTTCCGAGTGTAAAAAAGGTACCGTGCATGAGACTATGAGTCTTGTCCAGTCTTGCTCATGTCTTGGTTCTCATGAGGACTCTTAGCTTGCCGCCCTACCGTTAGCGGCCTCAAAGCCACGACCGGTGCAACAGGTGTGCAGGAGAGAGGGCCATAATAAGGTAGGTAGATAGCGAGCTATGCTATGCTGTGCTGTGCTGTGCTGTGCTGTGTTGTGTAGGTATGATGGCATGGTACGGAGTAATGCTGTGCAATGCGGTATCGTGAGAATACCTAGATGTCACTGGTGACTGGCGAGCTTGGCTGTGCAGATGCGTTTCTGGTCACTCGTATGTTGATCTGGACGAAAGCGTCCCGACTCCAAGGGCGCTGGTGAGGCTGGACAGCCAAATCGTTCCCTACACAGTACATAGAGGTTTCGAGTGTATCCGTAGTCCGTACAGAGTACGAAGTACTGCGTAGGGAGGCACTGTCACCTGTGGACAACGGCGAGAGATGAGGATGCCCAATAGCCCACTTCAGCCCATCTTCAGCGGTGCATGTTGAAACTTGATCGAACCTTGCGATACGCCCCCATCTGTGGTCACGCCTTGCTGCCGTCTCCATTTGTGAAGTGACTCTGTGCAGAGGGAGATGTTCTGGCGCCCGTCCGGCTGGCGCACCCTGCTTTCGAATACAGTACCGGACCAGACCCTTGCGTTTCCCGCTTCTCGGGACCCATCAAGATTTGCGAGCTGGAGAAGGCAGCCGTCAATCCGATACATCGTTCTGACGGGTTGTACTTTGTACTATTTGGGGTTGGCAATGGGTTTGCGTTTCCCGCCCCTCGAATGGAGCATTCAGGGACGAGAGAATTCGTCTGCCTCCTGTGAGGTGCGCGGCGGTATGGAAGTTGGATGGGTGCAATGCACCATGGTGAGCTGTGCTTGAACTCCCAAGCTGGACCGCAAGTGACAAACAGCAGTAAATGTGACAAGCAGCAGCAGCAGCAGCAGCAGCAGCAGCAGCAGCAACAACAACAACAGACACGGAGTCGGAGTCGGGGCCATAGGCTGGTTGAGGTTCCATTGTTTTGCTGACAGCAGCGTCATTGGTAGCATAGGAATTGAGACGTCAAGTTGCAGTGCAAGGTGTTCATTTCTGACACCCAGTGACCCAGGGTAGCGAGGACAACTAGCATCTGGTGTTCCGGGTTGCCGTTACTCTGGCGGCTGGGTGTCTCTTAATGGGGCAGAGTATTGGTGATGGTATCATTGCTTCGAGGGAAGTGATGCGAGGCGATGAGAGGTAGTCGGTGCTAATCGTGTACTTTGATGCTTGATTCGGGGGGGCTGTGCTCATGGGTTTGTCCACCGCCGTGCAGTTTGAGCAGTGGGCTGCATAGCTGAGGTGACCCTAACAGCGGGTCTTTCCAATGTTCAGGTGGCCCGGATTGAGGTGCAGCCAACATTGTTTGGAACGAGTGGAGTTTTGGCTTGTTGCCGGCGGGCGGGCTTAACGGAAAATACTGGCGAGAAATCTTCATTTCCATGTTGGACGAATGATTGCTGGTGAAAAGGCGAGTCGATGGGACTCTGGGAGGTTGAGACCGAGGAGACCGAGGATGGGACTGTGGTGGAAGATGGCAGAATTGAGGACAGTACGTACCTAAGGTAGGGTAGGTAGGTACATACCTAGGTACCTACAGGTAAAGTGGTGGTGGTGGGGTTCAAGGTTGAAGGGCACCCTCGGTACGTATCTTTTTTGGTGACCGGGGGTTGGATCCTTCCTGATCCGCAAAGCCCAGACTCCGCCTCCACTGGGCCACGGCGACGATCTCCCATTGGCTAGTCGATTAGGCAGCAGCCTTTCGCCCCGGACGCTCTCTTCAGAGTTCTGGTCCGCTCAATTGTCGCTCCCGTTCAGCGCAGAGGCGCTCTCTCTCTCTCCACCGGTGCTCGTCTGGCTGCTGGACTTTCTCTCACTCTACTGCGTAAGGTGCTCAGTGCTGGGCTGCTTTTCTAATCAAACCTCGATGACCTTCGACCCCCGGTACACCAACAACCGCCTCTTCCTCGCTCACGACCACCACGCGCCTCTTCTCTCTCCTTCCACCCACCCTCAATCCTCGACCGAATCCTCTTCCTCCTCCTGCTTCTCTTCCTCTTTTTTTCTTGCTCTCCTCGATTTCTAGGATATCCAAGCCGCTTCCTCGACACCAAACCCAATCCCGTCTTGTCCCACTAAGGCCGCCGCACTCCAGTCCGCTTCTTCCTCGTCTCTTGCTCTTCCTCCCGGATACACATCATCCTCAAAGAATATCGCCCACGGCAAGCAGCTCAGACTATCTACGTCTGCTTTCTTCCATCCTCGTGTGCATACGCCGACGCGTACGACAGCTGGGACGAAAAGGCGCATCATACTACATTGTCTTGCTCCTATACCCGCAGACAGGACCCCTCAAAATCAGGCAGACTTCAACGGCCTCGCCTTAAATCCACTACTCGCCTGCTCTGCTCGCCTTTCGCCTCGTCTGGCCTTCCGTTGCCATCTCCCCATACCATCGACGTTATCGCCTTCGATACCATCTTTCATCTCGACGTAAGGCCCCGTCTCGTCCTATTCTTCCTCTTCCTCTCTCTCTCTCTCCCCCCCTCTTCATCCACTTTGTCCACACGATATCCGTCTCAAACATTTCCCGCCACCTCATCACATTGGCCAATCCTAAACCTTGGGCTTGCTCAAGAGGCTAGGACTACTACATCAGACCTACCAGTGAGGTCCTGGTCGTGACTCACACTCCGTGTCCTATTCAGCCCTACAACTACATGAACCCTCAAGAGATCTAACACAACCTAGCCGACAGAGTTCTGGACACCCGTGTCATCACCGTCACCATGTCCGTCTCCGTCAACCCTCGACGCAGGACTCCGGTGACTCGCCCGGAGTCTCCTGCCGGCACTGGCCTCACTCTTAAGACCAATAGCCTCCGCAAGGGCGCTACCTTCCACTCTCCCACCAGTCCTACCTCTTCTATGGATGATGCCTTGACTGCTGCCCCTCCAAGCCTTCGACGCTCCCAGACCAACCTGGACGACGTTGTCGACGCCCACTGCCGCCGCATGGCCTTGATCGTCGACGACATTGACAAGTCCCTTGCCAACATCAACCTGGTCTCCCCCAAGACCAAGTCTTTCCGCGACGATAGTCTTCCCGTTCCCAGAGGCTTCCTCAACCTGCCCGTTGTCGACCCCGCCATGGCAAAGGAAAAGTCAAAGGAGACGGAACGTCGCATTCTGCGTCCCAGAACCCGCCGTTCCTCGAGACATCATGAATCAGACAGCGGACTCGGAACCTCTGTCGCCCCCACCACCGAGACAGAGCCTGCAACCACCGCATCAAAGAAGGCATCCGCCATCACAAGGTCCGCTGCCAACACTTCTTCTGCCACCATGGAGAAGCTTCCCGCCCTTAGCTCCAAGGCTGTCAACCGCATTCACGAGCACGTCCTCCGCCCACTCCGGGCCAAGCCTGCTCTCAAGGACTTTGAGCCGATTGTTCTTGACATCCCCAGACGCATTAGGGAGAAGGAGATCATCTGCCTGAGAGATCTCGAAAAGACCCTTATTTTCATGGCACCCGTAAGTCATTCACTAACTGAAACTGGAGTTTGGGCAATTACTTATCGATCGTTGATGAAGGAGAGGACCAAGACCGCCGCCTTGTACCTCGATTTCTGCCTGACGTCGATCCACTGCATTCAAGCAACCGTGGAATACCTAAGCGACCGAGAACAGACTCGACCAAACGACCGCCCTTACACTAACGGATACTTCATCGATCTCGTGGAACAGATTCGCCAATACGCAGGACAACTTGCTGCCGCCAAGGAGACTGGATCAGACGCCGCTGAGATGGACGTCGACCCGTACGATATTCGTTCCCAATTGATCCCTCACTCAACTAACTTGTTCCGTAGGACCGACGAGATCAAGCTCTTCGGAGGCATCGCTGACAACGGCCGCCCTGCCGAGCTCATCCGTATTCGCAAGGATGGTAAGGCCATTTCAATGGCCACCGGCTTGGAGGTCGATTTGGATGACCCCAAGAGCCCCATTCAGATGAAGCGCTCATTGAGCCAGCAGTTGGAGGATGACGAGGAGATTATGCGTTCCATGGCTCGCCGCAAGAAGAACGCCAGCCCTGAGGAGCTTGCCCCCAAGAAGTGCCGTGAGCCTGGCTGCAACAAGGAGTTCAAGCGTCCTTGTGACCTGACCAAGCACGAGAAGACTCACTCTCGTCCTTGGAAGTGCCCCGTCACTTCATGCAAATACCACAACTATGGCTGGCCGACCGAGAAGGAGATGGATCGCCACCACAACGACAAGCACTCGTCGGCCCCGCCCATGTACGAGTGCTTGTACAAGCCCTGCCCATACAAGTCTAAGCGGGAGTCCAACTGCAAACAGCACATGGAGAAAGCCCATGGCTGGCAATACGTTCGCACCAAGACCAACGGCAAGAAGCCCTCGAGCGTTGCCGGCAGTGTCGCCCAATCCACCCCTCTTCTCAACCAAATGCCCACTCCCTCTACGAGCAGCGCCGCTACCCCGCCTGCTCCTTTGGACCAGGCTCAGCAGTTCAACTTCAACGACCCTCTCCTCGCTCCAATGCACCCCATCGGTCCTGTTGGCGACTTTGCTTCCCACATTGACGGCATGGAGTTCCCTTCCTACATCTCGGACGAGGAGTTTGACCAAATGGTTGGTCAGGGTGGGTTCGATGGACAGATGGATTTGGAGATGTCCCTGTCTCCTTCCGACCACAACACCCCTGCCACCGAAATCTCGACTGGGCCATACATTTACCAGGACGGCCCCGACTTCACGGTGAACGAGGATATCTACGGCGCACACGCCCAGATCCCCACCCCAGACAGAGCCGTCTTCGCTCAGAAGGAGCTGGACATGGCTTTCCCTATCTACCAGCCTGTTCCTGCTTGCCAGCCTCAGATTGTTCCTGCCCAAACTGCACCGCACATCTCTCCTATTGGTCAGGGCAACGCAATGCTCTTTACGCCAAACTCGTTGGCCGAGGTTGACGAGGGTTTTGAGGACAACTACACCGGTGGTGGAAATGAATTCTGTGGCAACGACTTCCAGCTGTTCCCTGCCAACAACGTGACCAAGATGTACGAGCCACTCTTCGGCGAAGTGCCAAGTGCTGGCTTGGGTTACTCGCAAGCGTCACAGGATCCTTTCCAATCCATCGACTGGAACTTGGATTACCAAAACTTTCAAAGCCAGTAAATGTGTACTAGGGCTTGGTGCGTTGGAAACTTGTGACAAAAACGTTGATCTGGCACGGGGCCAGCTAATGATTTGATGACTGGATGGGATGGGCCTCACAAGAGGTTCGAGGAAGTCGGACGTTCGACTTTTCCTCTTTTGCGTACTTTGTATTATTGATCTCGCACATCTACGCTGCTTGCTCCAGGACTTGTCTTGTTTCTCATTTTTGATTCACATGAGATTGACGATAGAGAAGATGGTTTGGTGTAGTGGGATATGTGGTGGATGAGCAGCCAGACTTGAGAGTCTATGGTTTGAAACTCCGCGATTTGAGGATGAGGGTCTAGAGACATATCTCGCTCAATTTGATATGGCATTTTTGAAGCCACAAAAACAAAACCATCTCCGAGTGCCCGTTGAGCAATGCCATGAGATGACACTGACTTGACTACCATTAGGTAGTCTCGTGTTCGCTGATGGATAGTTTGCTCTGGGTTCTCAGAGGCACAGAAAAAAAGACACCAACACCAGACACCAATAACAACGGCAAAAACATGGAGCAAAGGCACAGCAGCTCTATCTTGGGGGGTGAGACTTGGAAACGCAGTGTCCCGAAACTAATTCGGGCTTCCGCGGGGAGAGGGACATGAATGACGTGGTGGTTGTGGGAGTAGCTATGAGTCTTTGCGGCGAAGCCAAGTGTTGTCTCACCTACTTTCCTCAACGTCAGAGGGGCGGGCATACGGGGGAAAGAGCCGGTTGTGGTATATTTGGCCTCGCCTCGGGGATCGGCTGGGAGACATTGACTACGAAGGAGGGATCTGAGATGGATCTGCAATCTGAACACGAGGAAGGGCTCTGTTTTCCGGCTGAGTTATCTTGGAAAAGGGTATTTCGAGCCAATCTTTCCCTTGCACGGGGTTTGATGCTTGGTTGTTTGGAGGGACATTTTTGAAGGACATTTTGGAGGAACATTAGGCAGTTAGATAGATACCCCCCCCCATTTCCCCCAAAAAGTAGATAGGATCGAATCTCATTACTTATTGTGTGAGAAATATGTGCTAGGTTCAGCTTTGATTGTGACTTTTGGAATGCAGTGAAATGTAGCGTAGGTAGGTAGGTGTGCTCTTGTCAGCATTGTAGCCGTTTGTGCCGTGCCCGTTGCCCGTTGGGCCGAATTCCGTCCGGGTCGGGGGGACTCTGAATATAGTCCATGTGTCGAATGACGTAACAGCACTCAAGCTCTGCCGGGAGCACTATGTATACATGAAATGGTGCGAAGATCGCCTCTAGTATGAGGGCCCTGCTACCCTGGCTTCCGAGAGTGTGTATACTGTCGTGAGCATAAGGTAGTTCCGGGGTGAAAGTGGTCGCTTCTGGAGCATGTTGCTGCCTTAGGTAAGCCGACCTTTCCCTGTGCGGTCCTCGCTCCAGCTCTCCACTGGCAGCTGCTGCCGCCGTTCAAGAGCTCCCGTCCCCGTGCCCCACCTCGTCACCTTCCATTTTCTCCTCCCAAAAAACGCGGCTGCGAAATTTTCTCTCCAACAACTTCAACCTTCACCTTACCTCAACCTCGTGGTACCGTCGCCGGCCCGACAGCTCAGCACCGACCTCGACGCGAGCGATACTTTTCCTTTCTCCTTTTTTAGACTATCATGCAGAATATGCAGTTCACCGTAAGTCTAACAGGGAAAAAGGTAAGCTCCATTTCCATTCTCTATTTCTTTCGAAATATCTCCTCCCCCTCCCAAAGCAACCAAGCTTGGGGAGAGAGGGAACACCACCATGATATGATGAATCCATCAAAACCTTTTATACTCATAGGAAGAGCCGTCTGAGACGCCCCGAGCATTCCAAACAAAATCAGGAGGAGGGATTCCGGGGTGGGGAAGAAGAAGAAGGGGGAGACGAAAGAAGGAAGAGAGAAAGACGGGAAAGGAGAAGGAAGAACAGGAAGACCACGACGCAAATCTTTCGATCTTGAACTCGCCTCCATGCAAGCGCTGCCCGCCGGAACCAAATACTCCCCGACCAAAAGCACACCCTCCTTATTCCAAACCTTTGAGGCGCACTCTCCACTGGGAGCTCTGCGCCTTTTGGGGAGAAGTGGTCGTGCTGTTGGGTGTTTGTAGGAAAGGGGATGGTCGGGCAGCGTGGAGTGCATCGTTCGGATTGGAAGAGTCGTGGTTTTTTTCCCTCAGTATTCTTTCCTTTTCCTCTATTTCTCTTTTTCGGACTTTGGATTCCCTTGACTTTCCTCTTTCCTGGGTCCTTTTTTTCTGGTTTTGGCTCCTCGGCTTCGCCTCTCGTGAGAACCTCCTATCTTAAAACTCCGGCGTTATTGGGGCCTGGGGAAGATTGCATCGTCACGTGCTGTCCTTGGGTTCTTGTCGGGGGGGTAGGGGGCGGCGGGGGGTGAGGTGGGAACGTTGTGCTTTTAAATCGGGTTTCTGACATTTACTGGTCCAAATTTGTCTTATTTTGCATTCGGCTTGCTTCTCAAGGGATTGCTTTACTGACTTGGTATCGTTAGGAAAGTTACGCGAGCGTCGTTGTTCAGACGTTGGGTTGCAGGGTTGGGTATAGGATGTATGAGGGGTGTAGAGGTGGCATTATGGTCTGCAGAGGACCGAGGTAGGTCAGAGCGAGATCAATACATCTTCATTGAATCGTTATCCTTCCCTTGTGCTTGTGTCCTTGAGCTAGTGATGTCCCCTTACCGTCTTTGATACATTATGATCCGTACTCCGAGCATGAACAACTCTCAAGTGACCTAATGGCCACATCACTCGTCGCTATCACTGTCAAACACCGGCCGCCTCCTCTGCAGCCGTCCACCGCCCTGCGCTCGCGGAGTAGCATCCACTTCAGACCCATCATCCTCTGGATCCACGAAACCCAGTATCTTCTTCCCCTTGCTGCTCATCAGCACGCCATCAAGGTCCGGCAACGAATCCACAGACTCCTGCGTCCCTGGAAACTCAGTCGGTACATAAAACGGCCGAGCAACTCCTTTGGGCTGTGGCCTTGCGGAAGAGATCACGATGGGACTCGTCGCGAGCGTCGATGACGTCGGCTGGATACTGGAGACGGGGTGGTCGTCCGAGACGACAAAGTCGAGCAGGTCGCCTCCGCTGTCTGAGCCGTCCGTCTCCATCGCGTCGCTGTCTCTGTCGCAGGCGTCGCCTAGTTCGTCGCTGTTGATGCCGCGGGCGACTCTCTTTGAAGCCTTCCTGCCTCGTCCTCTTCCTGCGGTCTTCTTTGGCGGGCGGCGGGGAGGCGATTCCTCGTCCATGGTCTCATCCATCTCGTCGTCGACTAGGGCTGAAGCGGATGCGAATGCTGCGGCGCGCTTTGTGGTCCCGGTCGATCGGCGTTTCTTTGGCGGTGACTCCTCAATAGGCTCGTCTTCGTCGGACGACACTGCCGTCATGACTTGCCCCAGAGGCCCAGGACCCGACGCTCCATCTTCTGTATCGCTCGCAAACGATGGCACGGGAATCTCCTCGTACCGGGTCGTGTCTTCCTCCCCGAAACGGCGCACCCAACGATTTCTCTCATCTTGATTCTTGGCAAACTTCTGACATAACTTAACGTACCTTTTGGTACGCTGGCTGTGCTGAACCTTGCTGACCGGTCGAAGTCGGCGCTGGAGCAAGGGGTACGACGTCAGCTCCGGCATCTCTGTTTCTTCAATCTTTGTCCGACTGGCAGGTAGCGACCGGTACACCTTATCCAACTCGGCCAGTTGCGCTTCTGTGAGCATGACCGAATCGAACGAGGGCACGTCGGTGATGAAGTCAGCCTCCGTCGGCTGTTGCTCTTGCTCTTGCTTTTTGGGGCGGCCTCTTTTGGGCGCCGCACCGGGTTTGCCGATGGCAGACGCCTTCACGAAGCCCATCTCGACACCGTCGGGCATGTGGAACTTCTTGGGCGGCAGTTTCTTCCTCGCTCTTCCCTTCTTGGGCTCTGGGAGCGACGGGTTCTGCGTATTCTCGATGGGGATCTCAATATGCTGCATGTCCACCTCCGGGCGGATCTCCCGAGGTACGATGCGAGTGGAAAGGTCGTGACGGAAGTTAAACTTGCTCCCTTCGCAGATCAACTTTTGCATCTCCGCATAGTTGTCTTTCGACCTGGCAAAGGCATCCTCTTCCTTGCCCCTCATCAATAGTAGCACGATATTTCCAGCCCTCTTTCGGCCCGTTCTACCCATTCGTTGTAACATACGAATAGGCGAGGACGAGGCGTCGTAGCAAACAATCAAATCGACTTGGCCAATGTCCAGTCCCTCTTCTCCGATGGACGTTGCGACCAGGACGTTGTATTCGCCATCTTTAAACTTTTGTATTGTCGCAATTTGTTCGGCCTGCTTCATGCCTGCGGATCGCTTCGAGTCGGCTTGTCCCACGAAGACAGTGGCTTTGATCAGCGGTTTGTGCACATTCAGTACCTTGACGATATCTTCGGCACTGTCTCTGTACTCGCTGAACACTATAATTCGAGTGGAAGTCGCACCGGCATCCATGAAATGATTTAGGACGGTGTCCTGGAGAGCGGCAAGCTTTGGGTGCCCGACGAAGCCGTCTAGGCGAAGCCACTTTTCCACCCTGGTCATCATCTCCTGGAAGCTCGAGTCGTTAACAATTTGCTTCTTGTATTTGGAGCCCTTTTCTCCCTTGTCCTCAATCTCGCTTCGAAATTCTTTGAGGTTTTCGTAAAAAGGCCTGATGCCATGAAAGTTGAGTAGTTTGATCGCGTGAGCCAAGCTTTGCAAGATACTGAAGATAGCCCTCATCATGAACTGTACCCCAGGGTTGGCTCTTCTGCCGACGTTGGCGAACCAATCTTGTTGCTGCTTCACCAGACCATATGTCGTAATCGCCATTGGATCTCTTCCGTAGTAGATGTTTTGCTGGGTCAGCTTATCCATCAGCGGTTTCAGGGCTTTCGTGAATAGCTCCTTGATCTCGCACATCTCATCCGAGGGGTCGAGTACTACTTGCTCGACATTCCTCGAATGAACGTATTGACGAATATCAATCGAATCCTCTGTGCGGATCTCGATGTGGGATATTCCGAGATTGTCTATAATCTCTTGCACAGTCTCGACCTTGGACCCTGGTGTTGCTGTTAAGGCAAGTAGACGGAAGTATGGATTGTATTGGCGTATCCTCTTCACCACTTTTGCGTACGCGTACTCGCCCGTTGCTCGATGAGCCTCATCAATTACCAAGAGTACAATGGATTTCGGATCTGCGTAGCCGTGTGAAATGTCGTTTTGAAGAGTTTGCGGCGTCATGAAAAACACCCGCTTTGACGCCCACTCGTCTACCCTGAGAGTGGGCGCCGTGTCGCCAGTGAGAAGAGTAGTCTCTGACCGGGGTATGCCCACAATATTGAAGCAAGCGTCGACCTGTTGAGCTACGAGAGGTTTCGTAGGCGCAACAAACACGATCTTTGCGTCCTTTGTCCAACGGTAGTAATTGAGCATCACCGTTGCAGCAATAAACGTTTTGCCGAGACCTGTAGGTAGCGCGACGAGTGTATTGTTGAACAGACCGTTTTTGACGATACTGAACTGGTAATCTCTCGTGGCTCCTAGGTTGGTGGGATATATCCATGTCTTCATGGCCTCACGATTTATGGCGTGTTGAGAAGGGGCCTCCACTGGCTTGTCTCCTCGGTAGACACGACCAAAGCCTGGCTGCTGCGCCTGAGTTGAGGCATCATCTGCCACTCTGCCGCCTAGTAAAGTTGTCTGGCGAAAGTTTGATGATGAAGTGCGTGTTAGTCCGTTTCTGGCGAGTGGTGCAACAGGCTCCGGTGAAGAGGAGAATGCGTCTGAAGGCAAATCATCCAACTCGGTCCCGAGAGGCTGAACCACTGTCTTTGCCGTGTTCTGAGGTGCTTGTTAGCACATGCTTTTCTCATGAAAGTCAATAAGCAAGCCAACTTACTCTTGGTCCCATATTAAGACCAGATGGTTGCGCATGACGTCCAGCGTTGGCCCGGCTATAAGATGGTGCCAGGGCTTGGGCAACAGACGAAGTTCTGCCATTCTGTACATTGATGCCCGAGCTCGCAGGTATGACTTGGCTCTGACTGAGTGCCTCAACCAAATCCTCGTCTGCGAGATCGTCATCGTATTCGTCTGAAACCATTTCGCGAAAGAATGATTGGTACTCAATCAATCAGTCACTCAATCACCTTTGAGATGCGATCATAGTGCGGTCTATTTGTGAAACGGCGATCTCACGATGCTTGGGACTTTGGCGAGGATGTTCGTGAGATACCTAGTCGATCCAGTAATCAAAGGCGCGGTGGCAACCTCTTTACGCCTAGTACATCACTTTCCGCCGTAAACGCGTCGTCGCGCGAAAGCGTATCTGAGTCACATGATCAAATATGCTTATGTAACTGCAAATAGAGTTGGGAACTCAAGCTCCCCAGGGTCTCAGGCGGGGCAGAGGACGAGGTACCTGAGGTACTTTGGTGCCCGCCCTCCCCTGAGACCAATTCAGAATGCTTTGTACTTATTCCCTCCCAGGTAAAGCTTCAACGAAGTGACACTCGGGCGTCGTTCATTTTACTCCCATAAACTTTTGTCTTTATGATTGCCGTAGACTCATCAAAGGCTTCCTCTCGCTTATTCGCAATACTGCTGTGCCAATCATCGGCGGTGGGTAGCTGACACAATGGGTGACCAAACAAGGAAAACCAGGTAGGCATGTTCGTCTACTTCCTGAAAGGAGCTTTCCCAAGGTCTCACTTAGTGACCGTTCCTTTGTGAAGCCGTACCTTACCATAGCTTCATAAGGTAGACCGGATAGGCAGCCGTAGAAAAGAAATCGACATCCAATGACTGCCTTGACATCCTGCTTGCCTAGGTGCCTGCCTTCAAATGATTATGTAAGGAGGTAAAGTACAAAGAGTGAGGCGCGTGGCTGGCCAAAACGTACATCGGCTAGTCCGATTTGAGGGAGGTCGCATGCGACCGGAGCGTTCCTGCCTGTGTGCCTGCTGGAGGAGGTCTGTAGTGGGGCTGACCCAAACGTCACTGCTCTTCGCGACCGACGAATTTCTTCACTGCTTTCTCCGTCACCTCATCACTCACCCATAACCTGCGACACCACCCCTAAAACCGCGCATTCTTTGCAGAGATCCGCATCGACGGTTTTCTTACATTATTCTCTGTCGAGGGCTCAAAGCGATACCGATTTTACATACTCTATTTACGGCGGTCCACGAGTCTGCGCCTTGGCCCATCCGGCCTTTGTCTTCTGAAGCTGTCCGCGACACAGCGAAACACAACCGTCTTTCGCTTGACACCAATTCAGAGAAACCTTTGAGGATTCAACAGGCTTTATTTGACTTCTCCGGAAGCGCGCTGTCATCTCGCTCTCGCTCAAACGTGTACCCTTCAGCGAAAAAAAAACAAGCGAAAACAACCTACGAACACTGTCTACCCTCGAACGTCCTCGACCTACAATCACCTCTAGCTACATCTTATTCGTTGCACCACTCCAAAGATGGCGCCTCCAAGAGCTCCTCGCGGCACTCCATCGGGACCAGCACGCGAGGGTCGCAACTCCACATTGGGTGCCAAAACCTCGCGCGGCGGTGGAATCCAGAAGCGCAAAGGTGGCAGAACCCAAACCGACAGGGATGGAGATCTCGACATGGGAAGCGGCGCTGGAGCCAGCAGCACTCGCCGTTCAAACAACGTCAACAGAGGACCGTCGGACGATTCCAACAATTCGAGACCTCAACGATCGGCGAGATCCAACGGTCCGCCCACTAAACCCGGCTCGAAAGTACACCAGGCGATTGCTCGACACTTGGATACTGGCGATGGAAATGACCTGGTATCGAGAAGGAAAGGACAGGGACCTGGTCTCGTCTGGCTCAGTGTCAAGGGTTTGAAGGAGAGCAAAGCTGCGAGCAACAACGACGGTGGACTGCGGGATCTGATCATGTTTCTGGAGCGGAAAGCCACAACTCTGTCCGGTCGCAATAAAACGGTGCACATCAAGAAGGTATGTCGCGTTGCTGTGAGGCTTGGGGGAACTACATAGGGACGCCGAATGATCCAGCCTCGTTGAAACGCCAGTTACTCCGCGAAACGAGAAACAAATAGCTCATACCGGCTGCTTATGCCCCCTCCTAGTTGGGGTGAAGTTTATAAGCTACGAAAATCGCTAACATTCAATAGTCAAGTCTGAAGGGGGATTTGGTCAGCGTTGCGGCAAGCAAGGAAGATGCGGAAGAAATCTTGAAGGTCAACTCGTTTACATTTGCCGGTACTCAGCTGGAGATCACCGATAGTGACGGATCCATGGCCAAAGCAAATGAGGCATCTGCTGCCGCACAGGAAACAAAGCAAAAACTCCAAGGCATCATGTCACTCAGATACGATATGGAGAACAAGCTTCTGCGACTTGACGCTCTGAACCAAGATGAAGGCTTGATCCAAATGGGAATGCTGGAATCCAAGGATAGAGCTGAGAAGCTCTTCAAGGTCATGATGAGAATCTGCGACGAACTGTTCAAAACAGCACAGGAAAAGATTGATGCAATTCACAGCATCAGCTTGGCCAACAACAACATTGACACAGTCGCGCAAGTCGAAGAGATGGCGGATACCTTCCCTGATCTCAAGAATCTTGATCTTAGCGGGAACCAGATCGACAACATCGCAGGCCTGTCAAGATGGAGATCGAAGCTCAAGAAGCTTGAGACTCTGTATCTGACGGGCAATCCGATTCCGATCGCGGATCCCAAAGTCGTGCTCGAGCTGTTGCACTTCTTCCCAAAGTTGCAAGTTCTGAACGGTGAGCAATTGACACCGGAACGAATTGCGGAACTCAAGGCAGCTGGCCGCCCGAAACCGATCCCTCAACGTGGGCCCGATTTCCGGGACGCCAACGGCATTGGAGAAGCCTTCCTGTTGGAATTCTTCCTTGGTTTCGACACCGACCGCACTGCTCTCCTTGCCAAGTACTACGACGACAACAGCCAATTTTCTCTCGCGGTCGACACGCGCGCCATTCGAGACGAGAACCAGCCGCAGCCGATGCCCTGGTCATCCTACATCAAGCAGTCTCGCAATCTGATGAAGATTACGACGCCGGCCGCTCGAGCTGCTAGGCTGATCACAGGCAGGGAGGCGATCTGGAATCTGTGGAACGACCTCCCGAAGACACAGCACCCAGACATCAAGACGGACATTAGCAAATACATCATGGACTGCCATCTCCTGCCTGGCCTTGCCGACCCTTCTGGCCAAACCCAAAGCGGCGTGGACGGCATGATCATCTCAGTACATGGTCAATTCGAAGAGTGCGACAAAGCTGGCAAGACAGGACTGAGAAGCTTCTCGCGCACATTCGTTCTGGGACCCGGACGCCCCAACACCAACCCGATCCGCGTCGTCAGCGACATGATTTCCCTCAGAGCCTTCAATCCCCTTCCGAACGTCTTTGTTGCCGAAGCCCAAGCACCGGCTCCGTCTGCTCAGGAGCAAGAACAGCGACAGGCCATGATCGTCGAGCTATCCAAGCAGACGACAATGACACCCACCTACTCGGAAATGTGCCTGTCCGATGTCGCATGGGATTTCACCAGAGCCCTGGCAGTCTTCCACGAGAAAAAGGTAAGAAACCCCGAAACCTGGAACATTCGAAAACCAATACTAAGCCTCGCGTAGTCTCAATTACCACCAGATGCCTTTGCCAGCGTTTAGAAAATGCTTTGCTCGTCCCCGTCGTTCTGGGGGCCTTGAGGGGCCCGGAGGACATGGATGGATTAGGCAAGATCACGATGGGGCCGTACTAGTTGTGTACGACATCGGCCGTCTGGCCCACACGGGGCGGAATATTGAATAGAGAAAACCAAAAAGGAAGGGGGAAGAGAGGATAAAACTCCACACTCTTGTTGAAATGGCGAACAATATTGGGAAGGGGTCCTGGACAATCGTCCATGCTCGGAGGAAAGGAGGAATAGTCATTTACCCCAGGCGCGAGGTGGAACTAGACGGGAAAAATCCAGAGATCGGCTTGGCGACGGATTTTGGGGACATTCCCGAACGGCATTCGTACCAATATACACTTGGCCGCGAAAGAAGAAGCGAAGCGCATCATAGAGGCAGCGGCATCTTGTTTTGGAGTTTAAGGAGATGATTGCCATGACAGTCGTAGGGTGGTGGAACTTGAGAAATACCATTGAGATTGCTCGCCTACCTAAATCGTTCAGCAAATCGCCTAGTTGCAGTAACCGTGCTAATATTGTCGATTCGAGAGCGACGCGATTTGCAACTTGAATTCACTTTGCTAGTCGAAAACTAAACGTGGAGTAAAGAAAGGAATCACCTAGGCACATAGCATCAAAGACAAACGTCATTGATGGATTCCCTGGGCTATGGTGACATTTCGCAAATGACAGATTCAGCATAGACCATACACCAAGAAAATGCATATTTAATTACAAGGCTGAAAGACGAATGATCAAAAGAAGGCATCTTCTGAGTAAACCAATAGGAGCGACGGGGTATGAGGCGATAAAGGGCCGAGTGGGAATTCCGCAGGCGCGCGCTGGCTATAATGACGGTCACGAGATGAGGAAGAGACATTCTGCCTTTTTTTTGAGTTTAATGAAGAGCGGCAAGGAAAGGTCAAGGGCAGGAAGATTTTGGTGATTAGTTCCAGTTGCGTTCGCCAGTGATGGCAGCGAGTGACATTCATGTTCATCTTTTGGGGTGGATAAGAACGAATCGGATCCGAAGAAGGAGTGAGTGTACGGATATGGAGTGAGACTTTCAATGAGTGTGTGTGTCCGGAGTAGCACCGTTGTGTGTGGCTTGATGAATCGGTTCGTAGATGTGATCCCAATGTCCAAATCTCGGGCGCTTACGCAGTGCCGATGGCATCTTTTTTCGGTCGGCGCGAAGATCACATGCCCAAGGTCGTTCGTATTTCGGTCCACCGACGAGAGAGCGAGTGGATGGACAGAAGTGCTGGGCGTGCGCGAATCACAATTCTATCCTCGTGTCTTGGGGTCTGTGGCGATGCAGAAAGAGACGATTGATTGATTTGATTGATTGGGGGGACGTGTTCATGTTGGGAAGAGGCCGCTTTCTGAATGATGATGTGCATTCGCCCGTTTCCCGCTGCAGAGTTGACGTTGATGACTAAGGTTAGGTGAAGTACTGTACGCAGTTAAGAGCAGTGCAGAATACCTACCTACCTTTGGGACGAGGAAAGGAGAGTATCCGATTCGATGTCATGCAGCGTGCCGGGTGATCCCTTTCCACACCACAACTCTAGAAAGGGTGGTCCTGTCGTGCTGTTTGTGTGGCTGCCTGGCTGGGTGCTTCGTAATTACCACGGTAGAATCGCAGACGTACCACGGTAGGATGTGTAGCGCTTGGAGAGAGGCTCATTTGGATAGATTAGCTCAGCGTGCATGTAATTCGTGATGGGGAGACTATTTTCGCGCAGCCGCCCGGGAGGTGGAAATCGTTCACACTCTTTTGGCGCCTCGCGATTACCTATGAATACACTGGATATGGGAAAGCCTAGTTCTGCGATAGCGCCGGCCGAGACGTTGGCCGTTGAGCAGAAGAATGATAAGATGTCTTATTATTATGATTTTTGTCGGCATCTTCGGTTGTCCCTGGTATGCGTAGTTTGGCGCACAATGTCTTGCATTTTTGCAAAGCATCGCCCGGGTCTCCACGCCGAACCAAGGAAGAAAGGCAAAAAGCCTGATTCAAGGATTTTAGAGTATTTGCCGGGCGGGAAGAAAGGGTTGAACGGGATAGGTCATTTACTGCGGTAGAAGGAGCACGTAAACGACAAGACTTGAGATGATTTATGCGGTAAGGTAGGTAATACGAGAAGCGAACTTCTGTGCGGGGTTTTGGCATGATGAGTGACAAGAGACGAGATGAGAGGAGGAGGGGTCGTTCATCGGATCGACTGTTTAGAAGACTTCAGACCGGTTCATCGTTGCCGGAAGGAAGGGCTGGCTTGTCTTGTCTTGTCTTGTCATTCTTTGCAGTGCAGCAGCCGTCAGCGTGCTCGGATGCTTGGTGACAACTGCTGGCACTAACAAGCAAGTTCGAGTTTGGATGTTCCCGGGAGCAAGCGCCCGCGGGTACGGACGATTCGGAAAAGCCTGAGATGGGGAGCTGCGTACTGACAGGCACGCAGGCACGTTCCTTGGGTGATTGAGGGATGGATGGACCGGCAAAACCGTTGGAAGTTGATGAGATTTTTCTGAGAGAGCAGGAGGGGAGCCGTGGATTCGAGATTGATGAGTTTAACAACGCCCCCTTGCTCAGCCATACGATACGCGTCCTCGCTAAACCAGGAGGTGCTTGGGTGGGGATGACCCGAGGAGGGCAGCTTCATCCTTCAAAGGTTTAAGGAAGCTGAATTTTGGTTTTTTTTCTTCAGTTCTTCTGGACCTGATGCGGCGAAGGCCTACCTTACTCGGTAGTCGGGCGCCCGGTTGGCCCCTCATTGAACATTCCTAGGCTCCTTCCTCGAACGTTCCACAGAGACCAGACATCGTCTTGTGTCGCGTACAGTGGAATGGGCGAGGATCGTGGTCGGGTATGAGAAGAGATGGGGCCGGCGAAAATAGGGGAGGGGGAAGGAGTCACAGAGGGGAACTACAGAAACGAAGATTTTGATGTTTGGGAGGATTGTGAACCTACATCTCGTTGACGCATAGCTACGCACAAGAAGGGTTGATGTCATTGCCCCAAGCTGTGTGGACTCTCTGTCTTTATGCGACTCCCGCTTTGATCAAGATGAAGTCTTGCCTCTGATCGAGAGTGCGAACAGCGGATGGCTCCAGATGCTCGGGCGCCCGAGTCTATGGCACTCTGCTGCGTGGCATTGAAGCCCAACCCAACGCGATTCGAGACTTTTCCTCCTCCCGATAATGCCGTGCCGGCTCGACGGTGGGCCGCGGACCTACCTCCATGGAATCTGGATGTAAGTAAGGGATGAGGATGGTGCATCGAAGCGAATAAGAAGGGCTCGAGCGAATCCGGCCAGTGTGCCGTCCTCGCCTTTCCTTTTTCTCTCAATTGCCTCGTGCCTTCCCGAACAGATACAGATATAAATTACAATAACGGCTTACCATGTGTACTAGAATGTGACCGATGCAGGTGGATGGGGTTCATTGGATATGCGGACATGCACACGGGGATGGATATATCGAGAAATGTTCTTAAAAAGGACACAGGCACTCTACTTGAGAGCAGGTCCCCCATGCCCCCCATACCAGAATTGCCCCCTGGAAGGCACAATTACAGGCGTCAAGCCTCACCTCAGCGCTGCAGTCTGCATCTGATAAGCTGAGAAGGCACACCGCAAGCAGGTGCTCGAAGCTCAGGCATGGTGCTGAGCGAGCAAGTGAGTGGTGGCATTTCATCACCTCAACCAGAATGGAAAGGGTCGACATTTTGGTCCCCCCAATGAACTGGCTGCGGTTGCATCGTCAGCTGGTGGGCACTTGACGGTTTTTGGTCATGGTGGCTCAGGGGCATCGTCGGTTGCTGCAGGGGCTGACTTGCCTAGCGCGTTTCAGCCAGAATGCCATTGGACAGGCAGTACGTACTTTGCATCCGTCACCCGCAGCCGTTTCTCTATACGTACCTTGCTGTACGTACTGCGCTGTACGTGGGTACCTAGGTAGGCACCTGAGGTACTTCCTCACCTTCTTCCACTTTACCTACCTACCTTATCCATCCATCTCTCTCTCTTTCGCGGACAATCTGGTAGTCTCGAATACCTCATCAATCTCAACTCCATCTCGAGCATGACAGAGTCAAAAAGATGCCAAGCCAGCCAAGACGGGGCATGGAAACGCCCACGTTTGCCCAGTGCAGCAACGGAAAAGACCAGAGGCCTGGCCATCCAGGCCCTACCCTGACGAGCATTCACCTACCGCGGCTTGCTGGCCTCCCCCCGGCCATCGGTAGCAGTGGGAATGGGAACTGAGGATTCCCTCTCCCACTCTCCTTGAAGGCGGCTTGGCGACCATGCCCGTTTGCTCATGTTATCGCCCTCTTTTCGGTCTTGCACTGCGTTTTTCGACTCCCCCAATTTCGGTGGACTGTCCCACGAGGTGCAAAACGGTAAGACGCAACATCAACGTGTGGCTATCTAGACTCTTTTTTCCAAGTTATTCTCTCGTCCTGGACGCCGGACCTGCTCGGATGCGGTGCGTGGTGCCACGCTAGACCTCAATCTGGATGACCCGGGTAGTCACCGCGTCAATCTCCCTCGTCCACGGGCCCCAAAAGATCCAACAGCGGACGACATGCCGTTTTTTGATTGCTCCCAATTTGCGCTGCCGGTGCTCTCCCGTTGACTTTCAAGTTTCCCCAGCTTTCCCGGCCCATCCATCCACCGGACGGCGGAATGCTCATTCAATTTGATGAAGGTTGTGCAGACAGAGACTGCTGTATGACGCCAGGCAGTCAGTCAATCTGTCCGAAATCTCGAACTTTCTGCCCACTGACAGTCTGCTACGGGCCTCTTGTCCAAGTCACTCTTTTCTTTTTTGCTGCTGGCCTCTTTCCCGGTGGCCCTCCAGCCCCCGTTTGTTTGAAGGCTCCATCTCGCCGTGCCGTAGCAGGGCCGCAGGCGTCTCAATATTATTATTGAAGGCCGAGAACCGGGAGTAGGCGTCCACCTGGCGGCCCCTCGACCCATTTGGGGGCTCTCG